ACATAATCCGACTCCAAAGTTTTTGAAAATTTGACAATGACAGTTGCCAAGACGACAGGCGAATTTAGGTCCATATATAAAAGGAACAACGTCAAATTTGTTTAGTAGGTATCAGATCACGAAACAGTAAACGTCAGCTTGCTCGTTCCTGAAAAACAATTGAAGATATAAAAATTTATTGATAGTAACAGACCCAAGAAAAATTAGGGAAGAAAAGAAAGGTGATGTCAAAGTTGTCAGATTGAATAGCCCATGAAAACAAAGAAGAAGAGTACCAGTAGTGTCAACGAAAGAAATAGTAAAGTAACAGCGAAAGTGCCGCGAATAAATTCAAATTTTTAAATAAACAGTCAAGTGAATTAAAAATTTAGTGTAAAGTGTCCAGATTGGAGCGGAACAAGGAATCAAGATAAGAATTTCAAAATAAGATCGGCAATCCAGCATAGCAGAGTATTAAACCAGAAATGTCATCAATATCAATTCCAATGGAATAGCAGTTCAAGAATCAAAGGAATGTCATCAGTTTCAATCACAGTGGCGTAGCAGTGCAGGATTAAAAAGGTAGAAAACAAATATTGCATGCATAATTTGACACGTTGCAACTTAATAAACAAAGGCCTATTTAATAAATTATTAAATATTTTGATTAATTGACAATAAAAGAAATAAAAATTAAAATCAAGGGGGGGTTAAATTTAGAAAATTTAGATTAACAGTAAATAATATTACAAGCACTTAGAAAATATTTTACAATTGAATGAATTATTCAATTTAATACAAGAAAGAGCTCATAAATAATTAAGATTGTGTTAATATTTAAATTAATATAAGTAATGTTCATATGAAGAGTCATTGTTACATTAAATATTGGAATATAATTTAATTGTCAAACATGAACTGAATTTTCTTTATTATTTGATAAAACAAATTTAATTTCAAGACAGAATAACAAGAATAGTTTTTAAAGGTGTCAAACCTCATAGTTTTTCTTAAATCAGGAAAAAAACAATTTTTTGAAAATTTAACATCTATTAATTTAATATTGATTTGAATAAAAGTTCCCTTATTAAAAATAAAATTATTAAAAATATAGTGAATCGCTTCCCTGAGGTAAAGAGAATCAGCTTGAAAGAGGATAAGCAAGAATACAGGTATATATTGCATATATTTAATTTATGAAAAGATTATGGCGCTCAACAAATTAAACTTTAACTTTAGATCAAACATTTTATCTAACATCGTACCAATAAAAAAATGTTAATTTAATAAGATCAATACCTAAAATTAAACAAATTATCATATTAACATTATAAATTAAAATTAAATTCAAAACGTTAAAGTAAAATAAATTTCACAAAATTGTCGAGACAACAGATTGTTATAATATGGCGCCCAACGTGGGATTATATATAGGCTGATAAAGCTTTTTCTAGACGAGTATTTTTTTATTGTCCTCGTCCTATTATAAGACGTTGAAATGAACTACCACCTGCACATTTTTTATTAGATTCTATTTTAAGTACATTTTTTAGATAAAAAAAACTTTTTAACGCTTATTAGGAATATTCTTGCCTCTTTGAATTTTTTTTCATCCAGTAGAAAATTATGGGAAACTACCATGTGCAAAATCAAATGAGATTGAAATGAAGACTATATATGTGTATGATCCTGAACTTATTTTTTTTTTTTAATAGAAAAAATTTACCCCAAAAAAATATAATGAAAAATGTGTAAGGGGTAGTTCATTTCAACGTCTTATAATAGGACGAAAAATACTTGTTTAGAAGAAACTTTATCCGACTAAATATTGTGCCAAATTTCAGTTCTTAATTTCAAAAAGTTTCGAAAAAATTAAATAAAACTTTACCTTTTAAGGCCACTGGCTCCTTGCTAAATAAGAATAATAAAAGTTTTTAAGGCCACGTGCACTTACTTATCGTAATAAAAGATATAATTTCTCATGTGCCAAATTAATGTAAATGTCCATAACTAGTATTTCTTTATGCTTAATAAACAGCGTAAGAAACGTCTATTCAGTGTGAGCAAGACAGAGACACTGAGAGTGAGGTGAGTACTGAGAGCTAAGATGCACATTATGTGCAGTTGACTTTAACACATACATTACAATGAGCTATATTTGGCCGCCCTCGAAAAAATGGCGGCCCGCCCGCCTGGGCGCTTAAGACGGCCCTGATTGCTATAAACATCTAAGTCGAATGACAAATGCTCAAATGCTAAATTATCTCTGGACGATTTGAGATTTCAGCAATACAAAGTATTAACTGCAAAGTCTGCAAAATCGATTTATTTTTTTCTGGCTTTATTTGAAAACGAATTTTAAATAAATTGCATATTTACATTGCCACTTTTTTCGCTCTATCCAATGGCGTCAACATTTTTGCAATCCGACGTTTCGTCTTCCAGGGTCCATCATCAGATTAATTTTTTTAAATATATCGCTGCTGTTTTTATGACAAAATCTAGTCATTTTTAATTCTGCATTAGATGATATTACTATTGTAATAGCTTAAAAAGATTTTTAGCTATCAATAAAAATTTTTACGAATACGAATTTATTAAATATTTTATTATTTCTAATTAGTATTGCTAATAGTAGTAAAAAATTGTTGGATATTTTATGCGGTATTGACTTTTATACTGTTATGACTTCATCCAATAGATATTTTGAAAGCGTTCAGGAAAAATGTTAAATTATAGTTAAAACAAGCTAAAAACTTTTTAAGCGATTACCATAGTAATATCCTCTAATTCAGAATTAAAAATGATCAGATTTTGTCATAAAAATAGCAGCGACGTATTTAAAAAAATTAGCCCGATGATGGCCCCTCGAAGACGAAACGTCGGATTGCAAAAATGTTGACGCCATTGTATAGAGCGAAAAAAGTGGCATTGTAAATATGTAATTTATTTTAAAATTCGTTTTCAAATAAAGCCAGAAAAAATTAAACAATTTTGCAAAATTTCGGGTTTTTCCGGATATCTCCGAAACTACCCGGTATTTTAAAACTTTCTAAACAGCATATTGTTAGGTATAAAAAAACACAACTTTTTTCTAATCTGAGCCACCCCGTATCTCTTACCGTTTCCTAGATACTAATGCCTATCCCATCCTTATCTTGGGCACACTGTATATCTATGAATACATCAAACTTTAAACAAAATAATTGATATTAGGAAAAAAAAATTATTTATTTTATTTATTCACTATTCGACTTATGTTTATAGCATTACTGTACCAAAATATTTTTTTTGTATTTTTTCCGTATAGTTGAATGGTTTAATCAGTTTTTTATATTTTTTTTAAATTTAAATAAATTATCAACAATTACTGAAAAATTCATAGCTGCAAGTCATTTTTTTTACATTTTTGAGCATGTTTTTAAACTGTGATTATAAATTTTTTTATTTCGCCAAAAAGTATGTCAAAACGAAAAAAATTATTATCGGCAGAACTCTGTACGATGATTTTTTTAAGTAGAATTTTTCTTTGAAAAAAGTGTTTTAGGCCGAAAAAAATGAATATCTCGGAAACTTCTTGATTTTTTTATCTAAAAAAATTTTAGGTTATTTAAGCCAGAAAAAGGTACACTTTCACCAAGTTTCGTGAAAATTAAATTATTTTTGCGGATATGAGAAATAAAAAAAGAAAAATCAGAAAAAACCTGTCTCGCATTTTTCTCGGAAATTTTGAGGTCATGTTAAAAAATGACCTTTACAAAAGTTGTAGATTATTGCATGATCTACAACTTTTGTATTTGATACTTTTTTGTCTGACGTCAACTTTCGCCAGAAATCCCAATGATACAATTTTTCATAACTTTTCCACCCCCCAAATCAATCCTCCGCCGCCCCTGCACACGCATTTATTTTTTTTTTCGTTTATTATAAGCCCCTTTACTATTTCCACTTATAAAAGTCCAGGTAACAATTTTCTTTTTTTCCCCTCTAAATGAGTTATTTTGATCGTATTTTAAAATCTTCACTGACGCGGAGTTTGACCTTTCTCTCGGGCCTTCGGACCTCGGGCCGCACTGCGCGCGGCTGGTTAGTAGATAAACACCCTGTACTTTGATTTTTAAACTCCCTGTATATAAAAGTATGAGAATGTTTTTCAAAAAAGAGTAGGCCCCGTTCGAGAAAAGAATAAGAAAAGTTTGTTCCAAACTTCCAAAAAGGCATTTGGTTAGTAAATATAAAATTTTTCATCCAAAGACTACGTAGGTAAGGCAGAAATGGTAAAAAAATAAATTAAGACATCTGCTTGATAAATATATAAATTTTCATTAAAAGACTGTAGTAAATAGACAAAGCTAAAAGTGAAAAGAAATAAAACTGCCCTTAATTCTATAGAACACCTANATTTGATAAAACAGATTTAATTTCAAGACAGAATAACAAGAATAATTTTTAAAGGTGTCAAACCTCATAGTTTTTCTTAAATCAAGAAAAAAAATTTTTTTGAAAATTTAACATCTATTAATTCAATATTGATTTGAATAAAAGTTCCCTTATTATAAAAAAAGGAAAATATAAAACAAATTTAAAATTATTATTAAAAATATAGTGAATCGCTTCCCTGAGGTAAAGAGAATCATCTTGAAAGAGGATAAGTAAGAATACAGGTAAATATTGCATATATTTAATTTATGAAAAGATTATGGCGCTCAACAAATTAAACTTTAATTAACAAACATTTTATCTAACATCGTACCAATAAAAAAATATATATATATTAATTTAATAAGATCAATACATAAAATTAAACAATTTGTCATATTAACATTATAAATTGAAATTAAATTAAAAACATTAAAGTAAAATAAATTTCACAAAATTGTCGAGACTACAGATTGTTACAAATTGGCGCAGACAACGTGGGGCGTTTTCGAGAAAAATAAGGGTTTTGTCGAGTAAAGAAAGGGATGGTTAATATACAGGGTGATACGATCAACAGGATCTAAAAAAAAAGAAACAACAGAATGGATTTACGCAGTGGAAAGGTGTTGGGTGAAGAAGGAGACGGTTCTTCGGATATGGATAGTACTGAAGAAGCAAGCACAGTGACCAGAATGGAAGAAAGGGGGGAACAACAAGTGAGTAGACAAGAAGCAAGCGGGGGTATTGAAAGAATATTAAAGGAACTATTTCAAGAACAGAAGAAGGATATTGAAGAAAGAGACAGAAAACAAAAGGAAGAAAGACGAAAGGAAAAGGAAGAAGCGATTATGGAAAAGAAGAAGGAAAAAGAAGAATCTGATAAGAAACAGGATGAACTATTGAAGGAGATAGAGAAAACACAGGAAGAAAAGCATGAAAAATTGAAAATGGAGTTAGAAGAAAGAGATAGAAAACAAAAGGAAGAGAGTGATAGAAAATGGACAGAAATAGTAGGGGAAATTGCAAAAGTGAGTGAAAAAATCGATAAGAAGAATGAAGAACTTAAAAATGAATTTAAAGCGAAACAAAAGAAGTTCGAAGAAAGACTGGAAAGAGTAGTAAATCGTATAGAAGAAAGACAAGAAAATTTGAAAGAAGAAGTACAAAAAAATCAAGAGGAATGTGTAAGAAGATGCAAGAAAATTTAGAAAGTAGTAAACAATACACAGAAATAAGAATACAACAAGAGATGGTACTTAGAAGACATGATATGAATAACATGGAGAAAGCAATACAAAACAACCAAGAAAAGATTAATGAAATAGGTACTTAGAAGACATGATATGAATAACATGGAGAAAGCAATACAAAACAACCAAGNGGTTTTTCCAGATATCTCCGAAACTACCCGGAATTTTAAAACTTTCTAAACAGCATATTGTTAGGTATAAAAAACACAACTTTTTTCTCATCTGAGCCACCCCGTTTCTTTTACTGTTTCCTAGATACTAATGCCTATCCCATCTTTATCTTGGACACACTGTATATCTATGAATACATTAAACTTTAAACAAAATAAGTACACTAATTGATCCTAGGGAAAAAAATATTATTCATTTTATTTATTCACTATTCGACTTATGTTTATAGCATTATTGTACAAAAATAGTTTTTTTTTTGTTTTTTTTTTCCGTACAGTTGAATGGTGTAATCAGCTTTTGATTTTTTTTTAATTTAAATAAATTATCAACAATTACTGAAAAATTCATTACTGCAAGTCACTTTTTTTACATTTTTGAGCATGTTTTTAAACTGTGATTATAATTTTTTTTATTTCACCAAGAAGTATATGTCAAAACGAAAAAAATGATTACCGGCAGAACTCTGTACGATGATTTTTTAAGTAGAATTTTTCATTGAAAAAAAAGTGTTTCAGGCCGAAAAAAATGAATATCTCAGAAACTTCTTGGTTTTTGTATCTAAAAATATTTTAGGTTATTTAAGACAGAAAAAGGTACACTTTCACCAAGTTTCATGAAAATTAAATTATTTTAGCGGATATGAGAAATAAAAAAAGAAAAATCAGAAAAAAACTGTTTTTCGCATTTTTCTCGGAAATTTTGAGATGTTAAAAAATGACCTCTGCAAAAGTTGTAGATTTTTGCATGATCTACAACTTTTGTATATGATACTTTTTTGTCCGACGTCAACTTTCGCCAGAAATCCCAATGATACAATTTTTCATAACTTTTCCACCCCCCAAATCAACCCTCCGCCGCCCCTGCTCACGCATTTATTTTTTTTTCGTTTATTATAAGCCCTTTTACTATTTCCACTTATAAAAGTCCAGGTAGCAATTTTCTTTTTTTTTTCCCTCTAAACGAGTTATTTTGATCGGTCTACTTATTTTATTTTTAAGCATATTTTAAAATCTTCACAATTTTTATTCATTTTTTTTATACTCAATTTATTAATTGAAAAAAATATAATAATGACACATTATAAAAAGCAACAAAATATTAAGATTTTGAAAATTTAGCCCAATAAGAATAAACTTCAGCGAAAATTGCACTGGGCTTGACAGCCAAAACGACGTTGAAACAATAAAAACTCGAAAATTATTTCTATCTTGTTCTGTTTTGTTCTGGAATTATTTTAATAAATATATTTCGTGCATTGAAAACAATCTCAAAATTCAGCATTCAAAGTGTGTTGCCTTTAAGAAAACGCATTCAAAATGAACTTCAAGCTATTTATAAGCAACACGATTTCTTGCACTGAATTTTCGATAATTTTTAATGCCCGGAAAAGTGTTCTATAGCATACACTTATTACATATATTTTACAGAAAATTATTAAAACGCTTGGAAAAGACACCTAGCCTATGCTTTAATAAATTAGCACTGTTGCCATGTTTAAGGGCCTCGGAGTTTGCAATTGCTTTGTAAATGTAACATATGTATGGGGGCCTCGCATTTGTTACTCTCAATTATATACAGGATTACTGAGGCGACCCCTACCTAATACCTAATATTGAATGAACTAAAAACTGTTTAAGAGGTGCATATGCACATCACTTGTGAGCCCAAAAAGAAAATTGACAGTTTGCTACAGGGGGGGCAGGGAAAGGAAAATAACTGTACATACACGCATTTTACATGCGAAGCCCGATTTCAGGCCTCGCTTGTGCAAAACTGGCCAACGGGCCTCGTTTGTATGAATTATATGTAATTACAGGCCTCGCATGTGCAAATGATAGGTATATATATATATACCAAAAAAATATATATATTGGGGATGTCGTCAATTAGTGGTTGAAAGAAAACTCTTATTTAACTTAAGCCAAGTCGACTGAATTCAGTCGAGACTAGACAGCTATTCAGAAAAAATGAAAATAAAAATAAAAATTTTATACTATCCATTAAGTTTTAAGATGTTACTCTGTCAACTGAATCAGTAACCTTGAAAAAGATAATAAATAATTATCGAAAGCTTGGTTTAAGTTAAATAAGAGTTTTCTTTCAACCACCAATTGACGACATCCCCAATATACAGGGTGTATCTAAATAACACCGAAAAAATTCAAGGGGCGATTCTCCGATGAAAATTAATAGGGGTCTTTGGTATAAAATTTTTTGAAAAAACCCTCCCCTGAAAAGTTACGCCCCTCCTAAAATTACAAAAAAAAATTGTTTTTCTTTTTTATCTTCCACGTACATCAAGCTAAAGAAACCAAACTTGGTGAACATTATCTGTCAATAAAACTACACTTTTTGAATTTTTTTCAACCCTGAACTATTTTTGTAAGGGGTTGAAATAATCAACCCCTATGACATTTTTTCTTATAATTTTTTTTTCGATAAAATTTTTTCCTTTTAAAAAATATGTCTAAAAAACCCCATTCATTTACTAACTTTTTGATCTCTTCAAGTTTCTTCGAAAAGTTAAGGATTTATGACAAAAAAAAATAAATGTATTGTAATGTATTTTTAAAAAGATGAGCTGTTTAACGCGAGTGTATTTTGCCGAAAGATCTAGTGGCCTGTTCTTTACAATGGAATCCGTAGAAACAAATGTCAATGTCATTTATTGTCATATTAAATAACATTTTATTAAAAAACACTCAACCAAATAGTTGACCTATGATTCTACTAGGCTAAGAAGTTTGGAACTTAGACTAAAAGTGAACAAATGATGAATAATGTTATAACAGTAACAAAAAATAAAAATCTGTCGGATATTGACAATACAATCTACAAAAAATGTTGAAAATGATTGCCTTCAGCTTCAATACAAGCATCTACTCTTGTTCTCATAGAATTGCGTATGCGTTCAAATATTCCTGGTGAATTTTTTATCGTTTCACACCCTGCTACAATGCGGTTTCGCAAATCATTGATATCTTCAACTGGCCTTGAGTAGATCAAAGATTTCAGATATCCCCATATGCAAAAATCCAAAGGATTAAGGTCAGGGGAGCGGGCTGGCCAATTTACATATCCTCCTCGACCTATCCATCGATTGGCATACACCTCATCCAAGTGACGTCTTGCACGTATACTAAAGTGGGCTGGTGCACCGTCGTGCATAAACCATAAACGTTGCCTAATTTGAATGGGAACTTCTTCAAGAATAATAGGTAATTCTTCGAGAAGATGACAATATGAGTCACCATCTAATCGTCGTGGAAGAAAATAGGGACCAATTAAATGATCGTCGATAATTCCGAGCCACACATTTAATGAAAATTGATACTGATGATTTCCTTCAAAAAAGTCATGAGGATTTTCCTCAGCCCAAATATGATTGTTACGAAAATTTCTAATACAGTCTCTTGAGAAATTCGCCTCGTCAGTAAATAAAATATTTCTTAAGAACTGCGGCGCTTGGCCGATCATATTAATAAGCCATTGACAAAAAACCACACGTGGTAAAAAATCTCGAATCAGTAACGACTGCACCCGTTGGAGATGATAGGGATATAACTGTTGTTCTTTTAAAATTCTAAAAACTACCGAATGGCTTACATTTAGGACACGAGCTATTTTCCTGGTACTAGTTTCTGGGGATTCCTCAATTAAATTAAGTACGGCTTCATCGACAGCTTCAGTTCTAACTTCTCGGCTACGGCCACAGTCATGACTTCTCTTTTCAAATTTTCCAAGTTCCCGCAAGCGTTGGTGAATATTTGTGAACGTAGTATGGTGGGGTAATCTACGCTCTGGGTACTGTTCAGCATAAAGTCTTTGCGCTTCCAATGCATTACCGTTAGCATACCCATATGTAAAATGCATATCTGCCATTTCTAAATTCGAATAGTTAACCATATTTTCGGTTTATTAACTAATATTTTCTACACAAAATCATGAAACTTGTGAAATAGTAAGAAACAGTAACAATAAATGACATTGACATTTGTTTCTACGGATCAAATTGAAAAGAACAGGCCACTAGATCTTTCGGCAAAATACACTCGCGTTAAACAGCTCATCTTTTTAAAAATACATTACAATACATTTATTTTTTACTTTTCAGGGGAGGGTTTTTTCAAAAAATTTTATACCAAAGACCCCTATTAATTTTCATCGAAGAATCGCCCCTTGAATTTTTTCGGTGTTATTTAGATACACCCTGTATATTTTTTTTGGTTTCTAACTTAATCGTCAAGATTAACCGTATCATTTCAATATATACACACATAAAAATACTGTATTGTAGACTGAATCACCATATCTATACGTTTTTGGAGTTGCTGATTTCGAATTCAATATTCATTAAACCCCATCTGGTCACTGTTCGTCCCCAACCTTAAAAATACTTCAAATCGTTGAAATAATGCGTTTCTACTATGAGTAGTCTAACCACCACAATTTATGTTTTCGGGGTCGCTGAAACCAATTCTGATATCAATATAACATCAACTAGTCAGAGTTCGTACTTAACCTCAAAAAAGTAGCGCAAATTGCTAAGATTACACTTTTCTACTTTTAGGAATGAAGTGTAACCAACATATCTTTATATTTTTGGGGTCACTGAATCGAATTCCTACATCCCTTTGAACCCAACTAGTCGTTAGTCGTACCTAACCTCAAAAGCTATAATAGTTATAAAGTGCGACCACCATATTTTTATGTTTTTTTCCAAACGAGCATGTGATATGATGAAAGGTATGTTCCATATAAAAAGAACAAATCCTTTTTAGAAGTTC